TTAGTAGTAGTAAAAAGTAGACTGTAGAAGAATAAATTATCTCACAACTTCGAACATAAAAATTTTGTTTTATGATTCACACTCGTTAGATGTATTAAAGTAATTGATATTAATTTCAATAAACTTGTCAGAGAATATTTTGAATTTTAAATTGAGAGTCACACTTTTTTCTTAAAATCCAATTACTTTCAATAGAAAAAATATGATTTCGATCATACAAATGCCAAAGATTTCGGTTTCACTTGTTGTCTCTTCTTTATTGTTATCAATAGTTTCTCATGATATTACATATGTTCGAAAATGAAAGTATTTCGATGACTAATACAACTAATTTCGTTGTCATATTTGCATGAGTCATATAATAAATATTGCACCATTTTGCTATTTGCTTACTCAACATCTAAATAGTGAATAATATCGTTCTACTTCTCATGAAGGCATTCATATTATTAAAACATAAACATACTTTGTCTATTATTCAGCACTACAACAAAATTATTAACATTTCAATTAACTTTATAGTAAGTCATATTGTTTTGTAACTTGTTTATTTCATATCATTGTTTGTCTCAGAGTGTCAATCAGATTTGTTGCAAAGCTCTACTTTCAATCGAAAAAAAAACTGACGAGATAACTTCGCAAAGTATAAAATTGCTTTTAAGTTCATATTGAGTTCACGTAACGGTATTAATGAGATCAGAAAAATTCTCAAAAGATTCGAACGTCTGATCCTTTTTTTCACGAACTATGAGTGATTTAGTAAATTTTTTAAATTATATGAGGTAGTTGCACAACATTCGGATGAGCAAATTTCAAGTTTAAATATTACTTATATATAGGTCTAATCATCCTTAGAATATCTTCAAAGTTTTAGTCAATACAAATGTTCCTTTCACGAAATATTCGATTTTCATAAAACATTTATAATTTTTCAAAATATTTTTAAAAAATCACAATTTCTTAAAAATTGAGTATCTCATGAAGAGAATGTTTGTTTGGACTGAAATCCTAGAGGTATCTCGCATAAACTAAAAAACTCAATAAATCAGTCATAACTCGAGAAAAATAATCCAGACAATCAAGTCATTTTGTTTTTCGTTAAAAACTATTACTAAAAATTCACATTTCACTCGTTGAACTTGATAGAATGATGTGTAATATGATTTATTTGCTAATAGTTCATGCTTGACCTTCCCTAACCACGTTCTGAACTCAAACATTTAACAATGAGCTCGAAAATCATTTATTAGAAATTAAATCATATTACACATCATTCTTTAAGATTTAATGAATCAAATAGAAATTCTGACATTTCAAATAGAGTATTATAGTTTAGGAATGCATATTTTGATTACGCATATTCGGACTAAACAACAATGGTCTCTACAACTTTATCCCAATGAATTATTATCGCTCAATATTGACTCGTCTTCTACTATCAAACAAGTCAAAGATGGAATTGCACAACACATAAATGTACCTTCATGCGATCAATTTTTAAGCTTCGAAGGTCGAACACTTGACGATGAACATACTCTGGCATCGTACGATGGTATTAAGGATGGAAGTATCATTTGCATGGTGATATGGCCTAACGCTTCCCATCAAAGATATCGAGTGTTTGTTTCAATTCTTACTACTACTAATGAGAAACGTAAAGTAATTGACTTGGATATTTTCTATCATGACACGGTGGCGCAAGTCAAGCAGATAATCTTTGAACGTACTTCTATACCCGTGGAGAAACAAAGAATTATTTTTGCAGGCAAGCAGCTTGAGGATGACCGAGTTTTCTCCAATTATGGCATCCAAAAGGAAAGCACTGTACATCTTGTGATGAAAGGTATGAGTTACACCAACGAACTGTCACTGACACCTACAAAAGTACTCATACCGGGTCACCGCCACTGTAATATTCTGTGATTACTTTCAAAATTCGATATGAACGACGATAAAGCCTCGAAAATGGAGTTTTGATAAGGATTGTGTTCATTGAGATATATATAAATATCAAGATGCTTTTAAGATCTTCTATAACATAATGAATAAATTTCTGTCGATATTGCTAGAAAAAATGAACACTAATTTTATTTTGCTGAATTTTTAATTGTCTTTACGTAAAACTTCTCAATGATATTATGTACAAAGTAAACGTAAAAATAATGAACAACTCTGTGTAATTGAGAAGAAATACAAGAGTCATCAATTTTAGTGGATGATATTCTCTCTCTCGATTGAACTACGAAATCGACTGAAAATATTAGAAACCATTACAGCAAATCTCCTCAGTTTTATGCCGAGATCAAACATATAAACCTATTCTTTCTAACTTCAAAACGTACTAGGGTCTAATTGTTTTGAAATTAGGTTCTATTGTAGTTGACTAGCCATCCGTGGCATATTCCTACAGATTTTCATGACTGTTTTTGTATGATGATCAAAATGGTATTTGAAAAGCAGTCTATTTAAGAAGTTCAATAATAAAAAAAACAAGTATTCAAATACTACTGTCATCATTCAACCATTTATGAAAATAATTAAAATGCTTGCCAATGCAGAGATCTGTGGTTTTAAAAACTTGTATGTAAGTGAAAAGTTAAATATTTGATAGAAAAATGCAAACAATTTGTAGAGAACCATAGATACTTGATAGCAACATATTGGTACTGATGACCGATCAATTAGACATTTGTTATGATTACTTCCAAGTGGTCTCTCCCACATTGTAGAGAAACAATTCTTCGGCTTTGATGAAACTTTTGCAAAGACAGAAGAATAACATGCAATCTTGTCGATCATCGCATTTGTCTAAACCACTTAATATGAAGGTGTAATGAGTGAT